TTTTGATGCTCACTGACAGGAGGAGCACAAGGGCTTCCTGTGGCTGCCTTGCCTATACATTCCATATACAGAAACAGTGCTCAGATGAACTCTGATATGAAATACAATGCCACTATCTCTGCTGTTCTGATGGCAATTGAAAGGCACTTAGAGGCCGTTCAGAAACTGCTGTAATTTGACCTGTGCTTACTCTTCTCTATCCGAGAATCTGATTTAGACAAGAAAATACAAGAATAGGCGTCATCATTGTATGCTTGTTTTTCCTTAACTTGCAGCAGAGCATTAAGTTTTAAGTGTTAGCACTTTATCAAACAGTAGACATGGGCAAAAACCTTTGTGTGGGCTTGAAATACGCTTTTCTGAAAAGAACCATTTCCAATGCTGTCCTGCCGATAGTTGTAAGTATATACAATATTAGCTTAGCCCAGATGCCAGTGTGAATAAATTTTGAACAAGGTGGGTGACAGTTCTCAGCTTGTTCTCATGCTTTCTGTGAAAGTGCAAACAGTTTCGTTCTTTAAGATGAGCCCTAGTTGTAGTTTGAAATCTCTTGCAGACTTTGAAGCACTATGCGGTGTTCTTAACTGACAGCAGCCTCTGCCAGAAGAGAGATGTTCACCTTGTTTATCACTAGTGTGATGTCTTGTCTTTTCTGTTTCCTTCTGACCATTTTTTTCCAAGCAGAAGGGAATGGAGAGACTAGTTGAAGTAGAAGACATAGTGGACCTTGCTGAAGAATGGAACTAGGGGAAGAATTGGAGAGAATGAGTGATCATGGAATCTTCTTTTAAACCTAATTCATGACCTTTTAATCACATGAATAGATGCTTGTTGACTTGTTCCCAAGACAGACATTTGAGGTTTGAGTCTTTTGTTTTGTATCCACCTGAAAACTGTTATTAAAGAACATTCCTATCTGTTTTTGATGCACTGGCTGGCCATTTTCTTCTAACTTATTTTAAGGGGTGTCTGATAGAAGAGAGCTTCTTGGCAGCAATCTGATCTTAATAGCTTCTGAGAAAATGCATCAATTGCCCCTTTTGTTTTATAGAAGATTGATGTAATTTTCAGCTATTATCTATAAGGAAATCAGTGTAGTTTATTAAGCTAGCATCATGGATTAAGAATTAAAGAGCTCATCCTTTTATCACTTAGACCAGTGTGACACTGATGTTACCCATGAGGAGCTTGAGTAAGGCTGAGCACATGGGAACTCTGTGAACTCTTTCTCTGAACTCTTAGAAAGCAAGCTTTTAGATCTCTGTCAAGATCAGGCTTGATTCTTGAAAATTAATTTTCAGCTACTATATAGCCTGTGCAAAGAATGAGCTGCTTTTCTTGGAGTATGAGTAATGGAAATAGTCCTGTCATATTGAAACAAATCTTATAAAACACTGAGCTAGCGCTATGTAGGAAAAATAAATTTCATTTAATCAGAGGAGAAAACTAATCTCTAGTCACATTTGCTTCTCAGAAAACTAAAATACCAGCAATGTCTCTAATGTCGTCTTCTTTTCTGGCAAGTTAGATTACGTTCATTTCAGTGGTACTGCTTAAGTAGTTTTAGTTTGCTAAAACATTTCATGGAAGCTTTACAGAATTGAAATGTCATGTCTGAAGTATGAAAATGAGGAAGAAATGAGTTTTAAATATTCCACCGTGGCTTCATCAAACAATAAGGCAGAAGATGCATTTTATCACAGTCAGCTCATCAATGTCTCTTTTAATTCTGTGAAGCTTTTTTTATAGACTTAACATGAAGTAAATGATGCACATAAAATATAAGATTTTAATGTAGTTTAACCACTGTTGCAGGGATAAAAGCAAACTGATGTACTAGCATTCTGGTGAGTTCTTCTTCCTCACTGACTCTGTCAGTCAACTGCTTTTCCTCTTCTAAATACTGTCAATCAACTGCTTACTACTGAAGAATTTTGTTGATCTTATCAAATAGTGAGTTTCCAGGTCTCCACTGTAAGTAGGCCATGCTTTCATGGGTGGTTCTTTGGATACGTTCTCTTCTGATCTTTGTGAATTAAACAGGCTAACTAGCACAAAAAGCTTTTGATCAGTTTTAACCAAGGACAGTAGGATAAAACAAATCATTGTAGTTTCAGGCATTTTGCAGTCTTTTAAACCATCCATTTGTAAGCCACTGTTTTCTTTAAATCTAACAGTTTTATTTAAATGATCTAATCCTGATACTCAATAAAGTAATATAGTCTGAACTAGAGATTTTTTTTTTATTTATTTTTCACTGTATATTTATTCAAAACATTGTTTTACTACTGTTAATTTTTTCCCTCTATTAGGTATTTGATTCTATCCTGATAGTGTGAGACAAGGGCTCCAGGATGAATCATTACAATGATTCCTACTAGACAACGTTTCTCATTCTATTTAACTTTCAGCAAAAACAAGGTGTTCAGGCAAAGCCATGCTAATAAATCGCCTGCCATCCAAAGAAGCATATCTGTAGCACACAGTTGGTCAAAGCTTGAAAAGTTTTTTACAAGTATAATGACAGTGCTTACTACTACAACGTACACAGGCCTGCTCTGCAGTTCTGAGCTACAGATGGTGTCTGCTTTGATATTGAATAGTACGGCAAGATAAAGGGAACGGTGTCTGTAATACACAAAGGACACATTTTAACTACTAATAATAGGTTTGGGACTGCCATAAACACTTTATATAAATTGTCCTACAGCACAGATTCTCTTTCTTAATTTTTGCTTCATCTTCCTTGCGGTTGAAAACCTGGCTGAATATCTTCCTGTTGCTTTGTAGCAGTTCTTGTGTGTAAGCATATTTTTGTAGTAAGCATAGTCAGCAAGGACAGTAAAACAAATGTTTCAGGACACTGATTTAGACTCACTGCTTCACATAATGCAGTCTTCTATAAACTAGAAGGATGGGCATTAAGATTTTTTTATCAGTTAATTCCCTGGGCTGCTGACAGCTGCTGTTTTGTTGTTGCCTGTGATTGGCATAGTTGGAAATATTGTCTCAGGGCTTCCTTCCTGGACAAACTCCCCTGTGCCTCACAAGGAGAAATGGTTTAGGAAGGGAGCAGCGTGGCAGCACCTCCTCCTTAACCACATTCGAAAGACTAGGGTATTGATTACTGAGAGATCATGTCTTAGTGTTTTTTCTCCTAGCAAGTGAGCCAAGAGTTGGTGGTAGCGATGGCTGCAGAGGTTCAGTATGGTTTTTGACAGGCTGGTATGCTTGGAAAGAAGACATTTCCTCTGGATTCTCAGCTGCTAGGGTTGGATCGTTCATTTCCAAAATTGTACAGACCTTTTGAAGTAACCTAAGAGCCAGTTTTCTGGAAACACTGCTGGGTCAGGGGTTAGTGCTGCTGTTGATGTTTCCTTTCTGGGTTTATGGAGAACAACTGTTAGAATTACAGTGTCAAGGAATAATTGAACAAATTGTATATATTGTGCATAGTCAAGCTTTTGTTCTTCTGCCAAAACCAACTGGTATTTGGATGGAACGAGGGAACAAGCTAGTAAAGCCGGAAACTGCTGCTACCTCTTGGTTTGGGAGCATGGTTGGAACAGCACAGAAGAAAGCAAAAATTCTAACTTAAAGCTGCAAACCTTGTATTTATTTTCAATAGACAAGAATGAAGTGGGTGTGCACAGAAGCTTTTGTTTGTTTGTGACAACTTTATGTGAATGAAATGAGTCATTCTCTTCTGCCGTGGGGCAGAAAACTTCTGGATTTTTATCCTCTTCTGATAACACTGGAGTCTTAGTCTGTGTGCATACTGAGGAATACTGCTCCAAATCAATAGAGTTACTCCTGTGCCTATCATTAGTGTACGTCTCTGTTTTCTGGAGTGGAAACACACACATAGTGGTGTATGTGCATTTAAAGACCCTTTCTTGATTATGCATGGGATATAACTAAGAAAAGCGACACCATGAAGTATATTTCAATTTTTATTTATTTATGTTTAGTTTAAAACTGTGCATGTGATAAAGAATTACTCTGGGTTGCGCTGAAGTCATGGAACCTCTGATACATTGGATGTTTTTCCTAAATCAAGTAAAAGAAGAAAACTATGTTCTTCCCCCTGCTAGTACTGTACACTTGTAATTAAGCTTCCTGGTTTGCCAGTTTCCTTTAAATAAGGTTGGACAGAAATCTCACAGTATCAATCATTAGACAAACGTGGCTTAAAAAAATAAAAGCCAGCAGTGTTTTGGACTTCTGTATGTATACACAAGTAAAGCAAACCTTTCAGTAAAGTTATCTGAAAGTAAATAGTCCCAAATAGAGTGAAAGTTGGAAACACCTTTTTAGAGTGTTGCATTGAATAGCCATGTGAGGTTACCTAGACTCACACATACACAAAATTGTTTATAAAAACACGGAAGGTAATGTGGGCCCCTCTTGTTTGTGTGAAATGTATGGAATAGTCCTGAAAGGGAAATAAATTTCAGGTTAAAAAAATAGCAAATGTTGAAGAGAGGCCATGGGTCCATAATAAAGAAGTATCCTGTGGGTGTGATAAAAGTCCCAGCAGTTCTTTGGGTAAAGTATCATTAACACTAGCAAGCCTTTGTTGAAACGGCACGCTTTGAGACTTGCAAATTTTGGAGCTGCTCTTAAATATAGCAGAGGCCACAGCATGTGTCTTGTAAAGTACTGGCAATTCAAAATGTAAGTGGATGTTTTGCTCATTTTTTAGCGGTGAAGGCCTGAAAGTGGAGCATTACACTGCATGGAATGGAGTCGCATGCTCTTGTGTCTTGTACAATTAGAATTGAAATGTGAAAATTTGTTTCCAAAGCCAAATGTGAATTGATACAGTAATATGATGTTCTCTTTCCATGCTTACTCTTGCAAGTATTTTAATCAGGCCTTATTCTAAATAAAGACATTAAGTTTCATTCAGATATTTAAATGTACAGTATGACATCTGTATTAATCTGTTTGTGGAAACAAATGCACTCTGTAACTGCTGATACTATTTGATTTTGCAGGTTGTCTTCTGAATTTTGTGTCTGAAGGTACCCTCTTGCTTTCTCAGCAAATCATGGACATCGTTGGCTTTCTGAAGTCTCAGTTCATTTGCCACCTGCTGATCTGCTACATATTTATAGTGTCAGGACTGATCATTAACTTCATTCAACTCTTTACACTTATACTTTGGCCAATCAACAAGCAACTGTTCAGGAGGATCAACTGCAGGCTGGCTTACTGCATTTCAAGCCGTAAGATTTTGTTTTTGTTTTGTTTTAAGCTGTTTTCATATTTTGTCTTGAGGGAATTGTTTAAAAAAAAAAATCTGAAATGGTTGTCAAAGTAACACATATAAAGATCATTACTGCTTCCTACAGCGCTTGCGTTTGTGTGGAGAGGTGTTTGCATTGTTGGAATGTACTGTTCTGCTGAAATGTTTTGTTCTTTGATATTGGGATACTTGCTTGACTCAGAATAATGAAGAAAGACTGCCTCTCATTTGACTATCCATCATGTTTCATTAAGCCAAATGAGAAATATTGAGCAAATAACAGCATAACTCAGTGACATGTACTGTTTGTAGGTTTGCATTGCTAACAAGTCATTTCCAATAGCACTTTCAATCTCTTTATTGTGCGTGATTTTGTTTTTGATCTTTGTAAAACTTACATATGTGAATGCTATTTAGAAATAGGAAATAATTTTAAAAAAAAAGAACAGTGATTCAATGTTGATTTCTTAAGCCACTTGTAAACTGTTTGCTTGAATAAGCGTTTCAGGCCTTAAGCTGCATCTCAGTGTACTCAGTATAAGCATGTAGTTCACAACGTACGGTACAACAGGTAGCCTCTAAGTTTTGAAAGAAATGGGAGTCTCTAGAGGAGTAGGTAGCATATGCTCAGGATATAAACTGTAGAAAGACCAAATCTGTGCAGCTGCTGAGAGTCGTGACAGCTCACTGACTGTTGACTAATCGTTCCAGTACGAAGACTGAGATCTGTATCCTTTTATATTCTCTTCTTATATTAACTTCTCTGTTAATAAGAAGTGGCTAGAATCTCCACCCATCAGCAGTGGATTATCAGAGCATCTCAGTGATATCACTATGCTTATAGACTTGTTTCCGAAGAGCTATGGCTCCAGCAATGATTTATTGTAACGTCTGTCTTCAACATAATAACTATCAACTTACAGCAGGGTGCAATCTCACCAGAAGCTGTTAACAAATACAGAAGTGTCCCTTGTCTAGTAGTTATGTATGCTGTTAAATGTGTCTGTGTTCCAGAGGAACTGATCCAGGCCTTTCTGAAACTTGAAATTGGATTCTAAAACAAACTGTTAAAAATTGCATGCTTTATGAGGCTCCCTAAATATGATCTGAATATAATGTTACTGTCAATGGGAGTAAGTTATGGGTGGTTTCATATGAAGAAAACAGCTATCCAAGATAACGAGTAAGAGCTGTGTTGCAGGAGTATAGCAAAATGGTTTCCTCCACGCTACTTAGTCACTACTAGGAACCTGAGAAGGAGGAAGCATTGTTAATGATCGTAATTAACCACTTAAGGGAGAAATCTGCCACATATCTCGAGCTGGAGGCTGTTGGAGATTATTTGTCTCTCATCAGTGAGTCTGCCATTCAACTTGTCAAGGCATTACTTTTCAAACAGACTTTTGATTCAGATTTCAAAGCTGCATCAGGACCTATGAGCCCAAATAAATTGCAGGTACTGTTTTAGTATTTCTATGATAAAGAGACAATTGTCATAAAGGAATTTCACATTTGTTGTCCATGTGTATGTCCCTGAAGTAGTGAGTTTGCAAGTAGTATTTGTTCTGATGTATAAACAGTGCCATGAATGTGGCCAAATTTTTACTTTTTTTCTGGTGGCACAGAATATGTTTGAAGCCATGGAATGTAGGAAACAGCATGTGTAAATTTTCCTTTAGGGCAAAGGCAGGTTTTTATAGCTATATTATTTTTAATGCAGTACCTTCTGCCCCATTTAGCCATTTGGCTACTTGATGGAGAGACATCAGACTTGCGAGTCTTCAGGCTGAAGCCTTTAGCTGCCCTCAGCATAGTGTCATCTGTATCTGAGGCCAGTCACTATGTAAATACGAGCATGTAATACTGCATGCTTGCCCTTGGTTGGGAGGATGGCTTTTTATTCAGGGTTGTTAATCTAGTCTTCAGTCTTCACTGAAACAGGTTGTGTTGTGAGATTTTTGCCTCATCATGCTCAGAATAGACTAGCTTAAGGATAAAGACAGTTATTCGAGCTGTACAGCACAGCTTTGCAAACTGGCAAATGATTCACCTTTATCTGAGTGATGTTTGAAAAGGGGAATGTGACACATCATTAAAATAGGTATTTGAAAGAGCTGCAGTAGATCAGTTAGTCAAAACTGATGTGTTTTTGTACTAGTGTATGTGTAATATAATGACTTTCGTGGGGCATTGGTGTGCTGATGGACACGTAACATAAGCAAAAAGTATTTGAGATTCTGAAACTTAGCCATGGAGAACATACAGACTCCTATGCATTGCAGTGGGGGTATGCATCACATTGCCTTCAGTGGCTGTTCAATCCTGAATCAGTAAGTTAACCTAACTGTTGGAGCTGGAAGAGAGCATTTCACCCTTGACACCATGCCCTTGGGAAAGTATTCTTGTATTTTGAACAGTGGTGAAGTTTTCTTCTATCCCTTTTCTTCCTTTCTCATTTCTACTATGGGAATGTACTAATCTCATTTGTGCAAGTGCAATGTCTGCTATCATACTGTATACAGGAAATTAGTCTGTTCTTCTGGTGAATGCCTTTTCCTCACTACGGTAGTTCGGCCTGAGTTGGAGATGCTTGCGTATCTGCTTATCTGAATTAAGTCAGACTAGCTCAAATAAGTGTATTCATGCTGTAAGAAGGCCACATGGAATAACTGTGGTTTGATAGTTGGAGACATAGCTGTGTGAGCTGCTGCTTCTCCACTGTGAATATGACCATATCATACTGACTAACAACCCAGCAGGCTACTGTGATATAGTATAAACTACTGCTTATTGATTAAAGTTAGAAAAGAAGTAAAAACTTGGTATCCAGTTTGAATTTATAGTATTTATTACTTGGTAATTTATTACTTGGTATCCAGTTTGAATTTATTGTATGTATAGAAAGGATTTACTAGAGCAGCAACTTGGTTTTAATGGAAGGGAACAGAACTGCACACAGTTGACTCCATTACTGAAGGTGTCTTCAAAACAATTGTGAATTGTGACTTGGTCAGACAAGGAGAGTTTAGCTTCTGTTCTGACCTAATTTATTATGTTTTAGAGATGGGGATACTTTCTGACACCACTATTATTGGCATCAATATACTGAAAAATATTGGTTCTGTTAAATAGGCTGTGGTTTTTTGGTGGGGTTGGTTGGTTTGTTTTGAAGTGGCATTTTATGAAATTGGAACTGGTGAAAAGTTCTTAATTGCACATTGGAAGCTTTGTTCGGTCTCCTTGCTCTTCAAATGGTGACTGTTCATCAGACTGTAATTTAGGTTGCTTTTAGAAGTCCAAGTTACTTTATGTGTTTTACTGCAAATAAACTCTCTTTTTTTATCCATTAACTCCTTTGACAACTATCTGCAAGGGAGTGGTTAGCTGTAGTCTTCTTTACCCTGTATGCCTCAGTGCATACAGGGGAATGTTAGTTGCCGAGAGTGGATAAGTTCAGCTAGCCAAGAGGAAAACTTATTTATTCTTTTGTCAGTGTTGCACTTGAGAAGTGCCAAGAGTTGCACAACTTCTGTTATATTTCAAATGTAAGAAAAATGAAGACCTTTAGGCTTAGAACTTTCAGTCAGTGTTTTCTAGCTCCCAGTGTGTATTCACTGACTGATTCAATTATCTGTTAACCCCCTTTTGTAAAGTGTCAGCACTGGTAAGTTCTTCCTGATACTGAACTCTGCAAAGTGCAGCTCTAGTGGGGAAATCAAACACTGCAAACCTGTGCAGGATGGTAGTAAGTTTTAAAAATAAGTGCATTTGGAAAATGGTGTTGGAATGCAGGTTAGGCAAGCAATCAGTATTTTTTTCTATTTTTAAATAATTTAGGGGCACTTTGTCCTCAGTCTCTTCTTCCAAAAAATGGAGAGCTAAGGACTATGCTGAGGAAGAAAGTGCGGAACGCATCACAGTTCTTGCTGATGCTTGTAGTTAAATTGGGAGAGATGAGAATACATTTGCCTCCTTGTTATCTGGGGAAAACAAACCACGCACAGCTCTTCTGCACTAGCAGAAGAGAACTGTGAAGTTGGCCAAGCTTGTCGAGAGAGCAGGTTATCTTGGCTATAGTGCTATGTGTGCACATGGCTGTGCAGCTTGTGGAGGCAGTGGGAGAATGACTTGTATATCCAGTACTAGTCTGTGTTTCATAGGCTGATGCAGTGCTACTGCCGGGTGAGCAGAGTATGCTGGGCACCTGCTGGCTGCATGGGACATAACTGCTGAGTGCTGAGACTGAGACATACACGTTGGATGAATGGCTTCTTTAAAGGTGTTGGATGTGCTTATTAAGGAACGTATTTGGCTGTGAGTGAAGCAGTGGTTGATAACTTGTCCTCTTGCTGCCTCTGTCTTGGTGGAAAATTAGCTTCTCCTTCTATTGAGAAGCAGCCTGTGCTCCTCACTTGAATGGCTAACTGGCCTTCCACTGACTCTCAGCCCAAGACGAACTTTGCACTGCATAAACAGAAGATCTGCCAATGAGAGTATGACTGTGTGGAAGGATGCATAAGGGTTTTAAAAACAATTGTCTTTGCTTCTAATTTGCCTTTATAAATTAATTATAGTAGTACTAATAGCTGTTCTTGTGCTTTGAAAGGGATGTTATTACACCTCTGGGTAAAGTTACAGTGTGTTGGCTGCAGTTTGTAAATCCCTCTGAGGGGAAGGCCCTTCTTTGCATGCAAATGGGCACCCCCTGATGCCTGCTTACCGACTGCAGAGAAAACGAGATGGAAATTGATTCTTCTTATAACTGAGCTTTCTAGAAACAAAATCAGGTGAAACCAAGAACTGCTTCAGGCTCATCATCTTAGCTGATTGTTATGAAACAGTGAAATTAATTCCTCCCACATACAGCTGTAAGCATCACAGTACAAGAAATGGGCATCCAGATGAGGATGTGTGATAGTACCGAGGCCATGTTAATCCTCAATTTTTTATTTGATGGCATGCATTCCCAGTGCCCACATA